GGGGAGAAGCGGGGCTGATGGGGGGCTCTGCATCCCCAGACCCCACAGCGTCCATCCTGGCCCCACACAGAGCCCTCACCGAGCACAAATCCCCCTTCCCACCAGCTGCCATCTCCCCATCCAGCAAAGTTTCCACAGGGGAATCACACCAGTGCCCCCACAACGCAGAGCTTGGGACCCCCCCTCGGCTGTGACCCCACCGAAAGCCAGTTTGCCCCTCACCTCACACAGCAGCTGACCGCTGCCGGGATGCACCAGGTGCAGCACCAACCCAGAGAAACCACTTCAGCTGCAACACGGGTGCTCACAGAGCCCGGCACTGCCCCACCAACACACACAGTTGTCCTCTTCCCACCATTTCAGACCCACGGCTGCCTCACCGTGCTGCCACCACGGCAAAACCACGTTTCTCAAAGCCAGACAAAGTGCAGGCAGCGGGCACGGCCCAGCAGGACCAGAGCTTGGCCACGGATCAACCCCCAACCTCTGCTCTTGCTGTCTGCTCAGCCACCCAGCTCGCAGCCCTCCCAGCAGGAACATCGACCCCAGATCCCTCCCAGAGATCACATAGGAGCAGGCAGCTACAGCACCACGAGTCACACAGCATTTAACCAAGATCCTCAGCACAACTCCTGCACCAGGACACCTCTGTTACCGGGCACTCGGGCCAGCCCGGCTCCCGGCTGGATGCCAGCAATCCCCAGCCAAGGGCTGGCAGGGACCGACTGCAGCTCCAGGTGACGGCAACTGCCATCACCAGGACACGTGGCCGCCCCACACCTCACCTCTTTGAAAACGGGACCTCGGACGTGACCGTGATCTTGCTCTTGCTCCTCTCGATGGTCACCACACCCCCGCCCAGGTTCCCCGCTTTGCCGTTCACCTTGATCCTTTCCTGCAGGAACTGCTCCTGGAAGAGAGGGACACGGACGCTCAGCCGGGGCCGACGGCTCCCACTGGTCAAGGCCTTGACCGCTCGCCCACACCCTGCACTTCAGCTTTTTGTTAGAGCTGGGGAAAAGGGAGAAGTGCCGTGGCGCCCAAGGGACAAGGGAGGCAGAGGAAAGCCTTCTCCCTTCACGCAGGCCGGGAGGCTCCGAGCCTGCCAGCAGCCTCCACAACAAACCCAAGCACCCATGGGGGGTCAGCGGGGCAGGGAACAGCCGGTGAGGTGACGGCTGGGGCAGGATCCTCCAGGGACACCTCGGCTACAGCCTCACGCTTCAAACCCCAACTCGGGCACGGTTTGAATGAGGACGAGCTCATCGCACGGCGCTGACCCACAGCGCTCCCTGCCCTCTCCGCTCTTCACAACGTAATGGAAATCCCGTGATGGACAACGGGTAACACTGCTCAGGGGACGAGGAAAACACCAGTGCTTCACCCACGAAGTGTTTAAAACCAAGAAATACCGCACAGCCCCCAGC